GGAAAAAGACAAGAAATGGGGAAAATCAATAAAATGTGTGTTATTGAACTGGGTTATCACTCCAGAGCTCCATGTAGAAGGTTCTTTAGAATTATGCCTCCAAAGAAATGGAGACTATCTAGAACTTTGCCCTGCCTAGTTAAGAATTGTCACAGATGGAGTATTACTTTGCTAGGGCTGCTTGTAACAAAGTACCACAGCCTGGATGGCTTAAGCAACAGAGATTTATTTTTTCGTGGTTCTGGAGGTTGAAATCTGAGAGCAAGGTTTTGGCAGCATTAATTTCTTCTGAGGGCCGTGAGGGAAGGATCTGTCCTGGCCTCCTCCTGGGTTTGTAGTTGGCCCTCTGCTCCCTGTGTCCTCACATCATCTCTTTGTACATGTCTCTGTGTAAATTCTCTCTTTAGGTAAGGACACTAGTCATATTGGACTAGGGCTCATCCTAATGACTTCATTTTAACTTAAGTACCTCTGTAAAGATCCCAGTTCCAGATACAGTCACATCCTGAGGTACTGAGGGGTAGGACTTCAACATATGCATTTTTGGTGGACATAATACAGCCCTTAAACAGTGGTATTAACCTTCTCATCCTTCTAGGATACCTTATCCTAGGGCAGAGCAAATTTTCATGAATTCGTGAAAGACTTCTTGAAGAACATCTGAGTGACTCACTAGGAGCTTGAGGTAGACTTCTGTGAGGGTGTGTGAGAATTGTTCACCACAAATGTAGCTGAACAGAAGCAGGCCAAGGCGATATGGTACAAGGTACCCAGAGCATCTACAAGATGTACTGGTATCACCTTAAGTCGTGATCACTAACCTGCAGTGGACTCTTACTGCCTGGCATAGTTGGCTAGTAATTGTACGGTTTCTCATCAAGTCACTTTCTGCCTCTGCTGAGCATGTTTCTCATATCTTCTCTTCTCTCTTCTAACCTCCAACCCTTATTTCTCCAGTTTTAATGCCGATTGATGAACACTGCTACCGATTTCACTAAGAAGATCAAGCAATCCAAAAAGGACTTTCACAAGTCCATCTACTCCCTGTCGTGATGCCCATGTGCTCTAACTTCTCTCCTGTTAAATGGATGTCTGTGCTGCTAGTTAAGACCAGCCCCTCCTCTATCTCCCAGGTCCTCTTCCTCAGTCAAAGATATTTCTTTAGTCCCTCATACTCTCACCCTCACTTCTTTGACATTAGTCTTTCCCTGACTATTTAACCTATTCCATCAGCACACAACAAGCTATTATTTCCCCTGAGTTCAACTTTTCCATCCCACTATTATCTTTCTCTCTTTTTACAGAAAACCTGCTTGGAATTTTTGTCTGTACTTTCTGTGTGTACTTTCTCCCCAATAAGCCTTTTTAACCCCTTGCCAATCAAGCTTTCCCCAGCCTACCCATAGTCTCCAGTCCACCAGTGCGTGTTGCTGAATCCATGTTCAGTGCTCACTCCTCATTTCTCTTGATGTATCTGTAGCATCTGATGTACTCATGACTCTCTCCCATGAACACTTTCCTCACTTTGATTTCAGTTGACCACACTCACCTGTTCTCCTCCTACCTGAGTGGCTGCTCTTTCTCAGTCTCTGTTGCTCATTCCTCATTATCTTCCCAAATTTATATTCAGCTCAACCCTCTCTCCCAAACTCCAGACTCATATATATATCTCTCCACTTGGATAAATAATAGGCATCTCAAACTTAACATGGTCAACATGAAGATCCAGATAATTACCCAGCAAACCTCTTTTGCAGTTCTTTCCACTTTAGTAAATCATCTTAGTTTCCCATGTCAGAAACCTTGGAGTAATCTTTAACTCAATTTCTCTCACACTCCACAATCCAGTCTTTCAGCAAATCCTGTTAATTCTACCTCTAAAAATATATCTAGAATCTGTCTTACCACCACTTCGTACCACTTCTACTCTACCGTGCTTTCCATGCCAGCATCCTCTCTTTCTTGGATTATTGTGATAATATCCTCATGATCTCCCTACTCTTGCAATCACCGCTTTACAGCTTATGCACAACAAAGCAGCTGGGGGGATTCTGTTAAATAAGATCAGATCCAGTCTCTCTACTGCTTAAAGTCTTCCGGTTGCTTCTCATCTCACTTAGAATAAAAGGCAAGAAGTACTTACTATGGCCTGGCCCTCAGTTTCCTCACTGACCTCATCTCTTACATCCTCTTTCCATCTTGGCCCACCCTTCTACAATGGCATTCTTGCTTTTTCTTAAACACACCAGTCACATTTATGCCTCAGGGCCTTTGCGCTTCCTTCTCCCCTGCCCCCGTTTTCCTGCAATTATCTTTCCCTGCATAAGGCAAACTCTTCCTTCAAGCCTTTGCTCTAATGTCACCTTTCAGGAAGGCCTTTCCTGATCTTCCTATCTAACATTTCAAGCCCCCTTCCCATATTTCTTAGTCCTCTTTTCTATTTTATGTTTCTTCTTACTCTTATCATTATCTGGTATCACATATATTTTGATATTTATATTGCTTATTTTTGGTTTTCTATTAGAGTGAAAACTCCATGAGGGCAGGAGTATTTGTCTGTTTTTTTCACCTCTGCATCCCCAGCACTTAGACCAAGGCTCACAGGTAGTAAGTAATCTATATTTGCTAAGAGATGTGTGAAGATGAGTGGTCACCTATGTCAAATACTGCTGAGAGGTAGAGTGATGTGAGGGCTTAGATTTTGTAAGATAGTGGTTGTAGCTGACTTTGGCAAGATCATCTAGAGTGGTATGGTGGAGAAAATGCCAATTGGAATGAGTTGAGGAAATAGAGGTCATGAATTACCAACTCTGATTATATGTGAAGGAAAGAGAGAAATAGTGCTGTAACTGGAGGAGGCATGGGTCCAGAGAGACAGACCGTAGCAATGCATATTGAAATACCATTGGGAGTGTTTCCACAGGTGAGAAGAAGTTGATGATGGAGGACAAAGAAGGCTGACGTCTGTGTAGGCAAGAGCAGGCACAAGTGTTGACAAAACCCTTAGATAGAGAACAGAGACTTTGTTAGTTGTAACAAGAGAGAGCAGGATATTTAGTACAGATGGCAGGAAAGTTGATAGATTTTTGTGGCAGCAAAATAAAATAGTTCTCATTCAATTGTCTCTTTTCCTTAATTTTGAGGAAAATTCATCAGAGGCGAGATGAGAGTTCTGAGCTGGGTGTTTAGACCACATTTGTGAGAGGAGGTGGATTATGGAGAAAGAGAAGAGATGGGTGAAAAGTAGGACCTGATGATGTTGTGACTGTCCCCTTAGTTGGTTCACAGATGTGTATTGAGTGCCTGTTATTTGCAAGGCATCTCCCTCTAAGGGTGGAGTAACTGGTGGGTGCAGGCAAAGCAGTCATCGGAGAACTGTTACATGGACTTATCTTCTGTTTTCTATGTATCTCAGTTAATTCAGTTGTAGGCAGCTACAATTATTTGAGTTTCTAAGAGCCTATTTATTTTATTTTCAAGATCATCAAAAGAAAAGTGGGTTAAGTTTGCCAAACATGCGTGCCATATCTATCGTCTGTCCTCCAATCCTTGAATCCCAAGACAGACACCAGTCTGTCACTGTCCTTTCTCATGCATAGATCTGGCATTATTTTGAGCCCCAGAATCCTGGAGAAAATGGTGGGTGAATACAGAACAGAGAAGAACATCTCATCATCATGTTCTTTCAATATTTGCTTTTATTATTTTGTTAACTTCCTCATGTTCTTTACAGGAAAATGAATAGAAAAGAGCAATTTCAAATCAAGGCTTCCAGAGTAACAGGACGTAATATACATACATAAGTGATTACATTTTTTTCTAATTTTCTATCCTTTCACAGATTTTAACCTGTGGTCATTTCAAATAGTTTGTTGACTTGACATATAGCTAGACACGGGGAACCAGCTTAATTAGGCAAATTCTACTGGTCAAAATAATTATTTTTTTTATATTTTAAAATAGAAAAAAGGGAAATTTACATGATTCAAGCTGAAAGGGCTCTTGTTCTGGGTGATACACTTTTCTTGACCTGTTGACTCTCAGGTCAAGTCAATGTGCTCAATTTTATTATTTTTACTATGACATGGGGGAGAACAAAGCCCACATGGAAAAAGGAATGTCCTTAAGAATTTAATTAACACAAGTTCAGGGGACTGGGAAACCAGATAAATAAATCAAGACATTGGCTTTGAACCATGCCAGTTGAGCATTTTCTGGGTCACTTAACATGAATTAGTGACATTTTTAGGGTCAAATAATGTATTTAGGAGTTAAAATTTATGGACTTTTAGCTTGCTGCCTAGCCTTGGCTTATGTTTGTGAAAAATGTGTAAATCCACAAATTAAGTAATAGGTAGTAGATACCCTTTGCCAAATGGTAAAAGGAAATGATGGAGAGGTTAGTTTTTATGAAGATGGGAAAAAAATTGAGGTAAATAGTAGAATGTAAGCAGGGAAAGGATTGCCATATCTTTGAAAGAACTTTCACAACAACTAAGAAAAAAGGTATGCTAATGAAAAGTTGGCAAAGAATGAGAATAAACAATAAAGCTGAATTATCAATGGCTAATTCTGAAAAAAAAAAAAAAAAGACCACAATCTCTAATTTTGCTGTTATGAACTGACTCTCCAATTCAAACTGCCTACCACTCCTTTCTTTCTTTCCAGTTGATTATTTGGGACCCCAACCTGCCCTTATTGGTAGCAATCATTTTTTTCTTGAGACTTCTTTACCCCAAATTGTCCAAGAACCCTGAGGATTTACTCAATTCCAAAGGCATAAATCCTGCTTTTAAAGGCCAGTGGGAAGGAATTGGTAATTTTCTATGTCCACTGATACCATTTCTGCTCAGGCTGCCGTCTGAAGCTGCCTTTGAAGACTGGTTCTGCTCATTCTGATGGATACATCTGAGTTCCTGGCTCTTCTACCTCTCTCACCAATTTTATTATGCCCTTCACTTGGGTTGCATAAGAATGTGTATTTCTGTTCTAATTCACAGGCTCAGCTTCTGATCTTCAATAAGATATCCTGCCTGGGCAACTGGACTTGGAGAAATGTCAGACTTCCATCACAAGTGAGGCCAGATCAACTCTTTTCCTATTATCATCAATTTGTAATGCCTTGCATTGAGCTTAGATTCCCAGCCTAAACTCCTCTTTGCTTCTTTTAAATTCTAATTTGGGAATTTCTCCTGTGATTTGTTTTCTCACTGCCTGATGTTGGGTAGAACAATTCTTGTCCATTCTAGCGGTTTTCCTTTATTTTGAATCTTGGAGAACAGAGTTCATGTTCTTGTGTTCTTTTTCCTCCTCTGTGTCCCTTTGCTTCTATGGAAATTGACCCATAACTCCTACTGGGATGTGGGAGTCTGTGTGTGTGTAGGTGCTGGGATTGTGGTCTGAGCCCAACTTTTTATATTAAAAGCTAAAGCAGACTTACAAAATCAAATAAAAATTTATATCTCTTTGCCTTAACCTTGTGTAACTAACATGGTTCACTCAAGTGATAACGCTTCTGAACAAAGAAAATCTATGCCAGTGTTCTGTACCTGCCTATCAGTGATCGATTTACATTAGTACTAAAAAAGAAACAATAAAGCAAGCAAGAGGAAGAATACCCTAGAAAATGATATTTCCCAGAAGTAGCAAGGATATGGGCCTGTAGATATTCTACTATACTACTGGTGTGAGTGCAAATTGATACAAACATTTGTGTAGGTATAAACAGTATATCATTTAGCTATTGCTGCCTAACAAACTACCCCAAAATTCAGTGCTTAAAATAATAAGCCTTTCTCCTTCCTCACAAGTCTACAAGTAAGCTGAGAAGTTCTGCTGATCTTGGCTTGTCTTAGTCATGGACCTGCGGTCAGCTGTGTGTCAGGTAGGTAGCTCTGTTGCATGTGGCTGGGCTCTCTCACATAGCTGAGATCAGCTGACCCCTGGCTTGTCCAGGATGGCTTTGCATGGAGAAGTGGGCTCTCCTCTCTGGACTCAGCAAGCTAGAACAAGCTTGTTCACATGTGGTGGCAGGATTCTAAGAGAGTGAGAAAAAACATGCAAGGCCTCTTGAGACCCAGGCTTGGAACTTACAGAGTCTCTTCTACGTAACTGTATTGGCCAAACAAGTCACACGTCCAACCCAAATTCAAGGAGTGGAGAAACAGATTTCACTTTTCAGTGTGAGGAGCTGTGTAGTCACACGCAAAAGCATGTGTAATAGGAGTCTGACTCATTTTCTGATGTTGGACTGCTGGCGGCTTTTAAGCCTCAACCCTCCCCCTTCCCCTTCTGCCCCATGTCTGGGCCAGCTGATAAGAAAGCCTGGATACACCCTCCTTTAGAGCTGGTGGGAAGTTCAAACCACTCAAGCCCCTGTCCACACAGGAACCTCTTACCTCTTAGCCATCCTAAAAACTCCAGGCCAGGTCGTTTCCCTGCTCTCTCAAGCCGTGTTAGGATCTGCGTGGGAGACATGCTCTGCTCTCCTTAAAAGTCTCATTATCTAAGTATCACATCTTTTCATGCCCTCTTCGTGTGTGTGACATCATTAGTCTTAACACCAAAACCAAATTTTGGGGTTCATCCTGAGTGGCACAACAGTGTGGATACAGGGTAAGCATGAAGAAATGCAGCCATTTGTGTGATCTATCACAATCAGTGTGTGCTGTAGTATAGCAGTCACAAACAACCCCCAAATCTCAGTAGCTTATAAAGACAAAGGTATATTTCTTGCTCATGTTACATGCCTTTTTTTTGTGGTGGGCTTCATTCTATTCCTGTTGGCTGTGGTTGGGGCTATGCCTCCGATGTCACTACAGTAGGCTGGTGGCTATTATCCACATGGTTCTTTGCTCCTTTTTATTCTATAATCCAAGCTGATGAAACAGCTCTCATCTGGAATACCCATTTCTAATGTCAGAGAAAAAAGAGAGAAAGAGCTGTGGCAAAAACACAGTGGTTCTTAAAGGTTCTACTTGGATGTGGTATAGGTCACACCTTTTATATGCCCTTGGTCAAAGTAAGTCGTATATCCATACTCAATAGCAATGGGACAAGAATAAATTCTCCTTCCACAAAGGGCATTGTAAGTCACATGGCAATAGATGAATAATCCTCTTAATGGAAGGAGGAGGTTAATTTGGAACAATAATGTAATCTACTGAGAAACTTTTACAGAAAGGTCAAAAGCTTTAAATTTTTCCTTAGCTTTTGATCTAATAATTCTCTGGCTAGAATTTAACCTAACAAACAAGATATTTGAAAATATGGAGCTATGAGGAAGATCATCTCAGCTTTGTGCAAGAGAAACTCCTATTGATAGGGGATTTGTTAATGTATTGTAATACATTATTATGATACAATATTATTTATACATTAAAATGATATTACAGAATAATACCATAATATAGAAAAATGTTCACAATATTATTATGATAAAATTTTATATAGAGAATATATACCAAAAACTTATTCATTAAAAAAATTTTAATTGTGATCAAAAACATATAATTACCATCTTAACCATTTTTAAATATATTAGCTTATTCATTTTTTAAGAAAAAAATTATATAACTATGTGTTGGGAAAATGCTGGAAGGAAACAAACTTTTAATAGAGATATCTCTGGGGGTTAGGTAATCTTTATTTTCTACGCCTTATTTACTAAAATCTTAAAAGAATGTGTGGCTTTTGCAATAGAAAACAATATAAAAATTAAGTGGTGAAATCTTGGAGATCTTTGATGGAGAGAAATATTGAAATGCAAATTTTTATTTATGAACTCAAAGGGATGATAAATAATAGAGTATGAAGCATCCAATGTTTGTTCGGGTTACATTTGACACCCAGATTGTGATCTTTTAAAAACGTTAGTGGATTAGTGATTTTTTTCTCAGTTTGCGTTGCTTTGGATAACACTAATCAAAATGTCTCAAAGCATGCTGTTGGAATCCTTCCAACTCAGAGTACAGTCTGTCAGCATCCTGTGATATGAGAAGGAATGTATAGCCATTCTCTGTCCTAGCTTTTAGTAATATAGAGTATTTTCCCCAAAAAGTAGAAGACAAAAGATCTGTAAAAACACTTTTGGCTTATTGGCATTTGGTTGGTTTATGAAACCTAACAGATTGGAAAGCCCTCCTTTGGTGTGTCAGCGACTGCGGAGCAGGAGCTTTGTCTTGCATGTGTTGCGTCAGAAGCCTGAATGGATCTGCGTCCCCAAAGTATGGATGCTGGTGACTGACGACCGAGAGCTCTGCCAGGCTATTGTGAAAGAGACCGTCTACTGTCTTAAAAAGTATGCCTCTTCAAAAGAGCTTACTCTCGTTTTTCAACTGCTTTGTCAACAGTTGGGGGCTCGTCAAGTTAATTCACACATTCATTCCATATCCCCTACATGGTTTGACTACATCTAATACCTGGGGCACAGCGTAATTAAGTGAGATGTTGGATTGAAATTGCAGGGACTTTGCAAATTATCTTTCTCTCTGTCTTAAATGCCAAATCAATGTAGTTTTAAATTAGTAAACTAAATATGTAGTAAATTTATAATAAATTAGATGATGTATAATGCTATTCCACTAAATTGATGGGAGGAATAGGCCCAATATAGACACTAACTCCATATTACAGATTATGCTATTGTGGGTCTCTTTAGTGTAGGGGCCAGATGGCCTGCAATGTACAATGTTTCCTGGGGCATCAATATGTTATATTTCATTCCAGTGATTCTAATTTTTAAGACCAGTTAAGTGTCTTCATTAAAGAAAGAAAGGAGTATAAAATGCATAACTTTTATTCATCTATCAGTGGTGATCTTATAAAAAATCATTGCTAAAAGAAGAAACTTCTTTTACTGAGAAAATCCTTCACATTCTTTTTATCTTTGATTCCTTTTGTCTTATAAAGATCAAGTTATTCTGTGAAGTGGTGGGGAGAGTTTTCCTATTTGCTGTGTTTTCCTTTAAGCCTCAGCATGGTTTCATCAAACAAAAGCTTTATATGAGAGTCTAGTTTATTACTTGGAGCTGCAATGGCTGGAGCAGTGGTGTAGGAAAGGAGCCTGGAATCCTGTCCAGTTGGCATCCTTGGTCCAGTTCCTTTGATGGTTCCTGATACAGCTTTGAAGATCTCTGGGCTCCAGGATGAGCCATTTTTAACCACTAATTTGAAGTGTAAAGCAACACAGCTTTGCTTTCAGAAGTAAATCCATATATCGTCCCTCCCACCATCAACACTTTTAAAAATAGCTCCAGTAAAACACTGCAAGCTTATAAACTGTGGTCAGCTTTCAGGAGTTTACAATTTCTAACAAGGAAATGTTTGAATTTCAACATTTCCCTTAAAATGATTGAGCTATCACATATTCATAGGTAACATTTGTCGCATGGTCTTAATGTGGTCTTACCTGTAATTAAGGCCACAAAAGATTTATTCGGACCCTTGCACACAGAGTTCAGCATGCCACATGCACACCAGCCTCTTATTTTAATATGAGAGAGGGTAATCTGTGGCTTGGTAACATGGTACCAAAGATTACAGAGTCAGGGAACATGAGGAATAGAGGATATATATTTTTTATGTATGGAAAGAGGCAGGTTACCTAAGTTTTAAGGCAAAACAAAGAAAGCTTTGAGACTAGCATGATGCACTTATTACAGGAAGCAGTGAACATTTAGAACTAAGCCATGTTCAGGAAAGGACAGCAGAAATGTGATTGAATTCCTTCAAGGTTTTGATCTTCATGCAACTCAATTCTGTATCAATTATGTTATGCTCAAACCAATCGGCTAGTAGGTGTGCAGGTCCATACATATTTGTGGGGTCAAGTGCAAAATGAAAATGTGAGGCCCTTGTTCCAAAAGCAGGAAAAAAGTCCTACTAAAGGTACTAACATATGAAGATTTTTCCTTCCTTTCATGATTTCTCTCTGACTTACCATGATGTATTTTATTTGCTATTTAATATCATTCTAAGTAAAGAAAAATTAAAATTTTAAATCATTAGCATGAATTTTACTGTTCATCTATATCTCGTGCAATACCAGTTTGAATGCAAATTTAAGCATTTGATTCTTATGCAGAATCACCAAAATTACGTAATTTGTTTTGGGGGTTGGCTATGTACTCAGACACTTTTCGTGATGGATTTGTCCATGCCTTTGGTTTCTCCTTTGCTCAGCACTACCTGTTTTGTTCATCATGTCCAGTGCTTCTCATCCTGGCTAACTTAGTGGCCTAAGAAGAGAGCAGAATTGGTGGCAAGTGGTAGAATGCAGCATGCCTGGAAATGTCACTCCCCAGTCCCTTATCCTGGTTTTCTTTTTTGTGAATCTTGCCACTTGCTCATATTTAGGTCTTTCCTAAATCCTGTTTAGAGATCTTCTATCACCTAGAGACCATGTCATTCTGGAAATGTGGCTCTAATAGTTGTGATTAAGCTTTTTGTTTTCTCAGGATTTTAGATTTTAATGTTCTTTGGGTTAACCTCTTATAGTAGATTGGATAATGATCCCCACAAAGATGTCCATGTCCTAATCCCTGGGACCTGTGAATATGTTACCTTACATGTAAAAGGAACTTTGTAGATATGCTCAAATTAAGACTTGGGGAGATGATCCTGGATTATCTGGGTGGGGCCAATGTATCACAAGGGTCCTCGTAAGAGGGAGGCAGCAGTAGCAGAGTGAGAGAAAGAAGAGAGAAGATGGAAGCAGAGATCAGAGAGGAGGGAAATGATACACTGCTACCTTTGAAAATGAAGGAAGGAGCCAAGGATGTAGATTGCCTCTAGAAACTGGAAAGGCCAGTGAAAGAGATTCTCTCCCAGAGAATTCAGAAGGAACCAGCCCTGCTGATACCTTGGTTTTAGCCAATGAAACAG